AAAAAGGAACCGTCTTTAACACAACGACACAATTTGATGTGAGAGATCGACTAAAACACACACAAAAAGTAGTCAAAAATGTTAAAGCTACACTATATTCATTACCTGAGCTAATATGTTATACGATACGAGACGGAATCTGATACCTGCAAACAAACACCAAATTCACATCATATACTCTTAAATTAACAAATTTTACTTAACTTATTTGCTAAGTCAAAGAGTAATTAAGCAAAACAAACCATCAAGTTTACTTCTTGAGTCAATATCAGCTTTTTCAACAGATTCAAATTTACGAACTTTTGGATCAATTGGAGGATTCGTGCTCATTCTTTTTGAAAGAATTTTCCTGCAGACTCGAGAACTGTTGAATCAAAAAAATTAGGTTAAAATCATTGACTAATAGCCACGAAAATCACAATTACATTCCCAGATTCGAGAGGGTTTGATTGATTCCAGGAAAAAGATGACAACTTGAAATCACCCATCACCATCAAATCAGAGAAAATCGAATTGGTTACACTAACAGATTGAAAGTTTGAAACTTTTTGAAATAAAAACTCTAGATTGATACAGAATCAAAGAACCCACCTGGTGAAACAAGGAAGATTGGGACGAGGAAGATGAAGCAGAGTATTATTAAACATTTGGCTTTGAGACTAAAACCCTTTTGTCTTTGGCCAAGACTCGAGGGTTTTCGAATAAAGAAAGGAAAGAAAACTCAAGTATTTATCATTTGGCTCCTTTATTTTATATTAAAGCATTCAATCAACCCTTACACTTAACAGTATCCAATTAGAACCCATATATTATTATTAGAACAAGACCAATTCTAAAATATTAATTTATTGTTTTAAAATTACCATCAAAATTCATAATTTTTAAGATACCTAAAGTTCTACAGATTTATATAATTTTAGAGATACCAATATGATACTATTTTTCAAAATATCTTTCTTATCAAATTGTTTTAAAATTCAAATTTAATATTTATAAAATATTATATGAAAAAGAGGTTTTTTTTAATCGTCTAGATTTACAATAACGAACAATTTTAGCCTTGACATGCGGGACTACTCCGGACGACTCTCCTTGCACTATGCTGAAAATCTCCACACATATAGGTGTAGAAGCATTAATAAACCAACTGTCAAATAAATAAATGAAAAGTTAACAACAAATAAGCGTTAATCTACTATAGCACTCTATCAATTTACATTGAGTCTTTAATGGCTTTAAATGGTTAGGTTTCGCCGTATCGCCAAGAGTTTGGTAGTCTAGTCGCCGTATTTGCCAAGTCTTCAATATACCACCACATCCTCTCTGAAACCCTAGCACTATAAGATCGACTAATTAGGAACGTTACATCTCTTGGCGATGGAACTTTTGTCTGATTTGGTGGAGGAGATACTCTTACGTGTTCCAGCTAGATCTCTTGAACGATTAAGATACACATGCAAACAGTGGCAAAACCCTAATCTCAGATCCGATATTCGTCAACAAGCACTTGTCTCACATGCGTTGCCGTGAACAGCAATTCACAGTCTTCACCGAAGATTCAAGTTCTCCGTGTTCAACAATTGTGGGTATTGATTCCAACAAACCTTGTTTAAACGTTGAGCTTTTAAAAACTTTGGATTCATTGGTGTACTATTCGTCTCATTGTGATGGTCTATTGCTATTTGTGATGAGAACCAAACTTTTAGTTTTGAATCCCTTGTTGAAACAAGGAAGATGGATCGAAAGTATTGCCTATAAGTATAAGCATCATTCAGTGGATACAGTTTATGGTCTTGGATACATTAATAACCAATCATCATCAAGTTGTAATGATTACAAAATGGTTAGGTTTTGTTGTCTTTGTCCTCCTTACAGAAGTGGAGATGTAAGAGTTGAAGTCTACGAATTCAAGTCTGGTCGTTGGAAGGCTTTCTTTGATAAAACCTTTGATGGGTTCGACGGATTACCATTGTCAAGTGATGTTTAAAGAAAAGTGATGATGTTTCTGTAAGAGTTTAAATGAATCCTTAGAATAATGGAGCAGGAATACGATATGCACGAAAAAGCTATGGTCTCTACGATTTTCGTAAGTTTTTGATAAGTTTTGCTACAAACAGAAACACATTTCCTCTTTTGATTCATGATGACGACAAAGCAAACCTGAAACACCACTAGCGTAAGTCGATAAACTAAAAGAGATGGTATTGGTTTGAAGTGAGGTCGTTGCATAGACTAA